GATTTTGGGGTTCATAGGGGGCCAGAGAGAGGAAGGTGGGTGCAGGACAGGAGTTTGGGGGGCTTCCAGAGGAAGGTGGGTGCAGGAGGAGAGCTTGGGAGGTTCCAAAGGAAGGTGGGTGCAGGACAGGAGTCTGGGGGGTCCCAGAGGAAGGTGGGTGCAGGAGGAGGATTTTGGGGAGTTCCAGGGGGCTCAGAGGAAGGTGGGTGCAGGAGTGGGGTTTCTGGGGGCCCAGAGAGAAGAAGGGTGCGGGAGGGAGAGTTTGGGGGGTTCCAGAGGAGGGTGGGTGCAGGAGGGGGGTTTTGGGGTGTTCCAGAGAAGGGTGGGTGCAGGAGGGGGGTTTGGGGACCCCCAGGATCCCTGCTCAGCCCAGCCCGTCCGTGTGTCCTGCAGAGGAGTGGGTCCGGCCCGTCATGAAGCGTGACAAGCAGGTGCTGCTGCACTGGGGCTACTACCCCGACAGGTGAGGGGGAGGATGAAGATTTCGGGGACCCCCTGTCCCCCCCCAAAATCCCCGTGGGCGCCACTCTGACCCTCTGTCCTCCCTCCCAGCTATGACACCTGGATCCCGGCCAGCGAGATCGAGGCGTCCGTGGAGGATCCCCCGACACCGGAGAAACCCCGGAAGGTACCGGGGGCACCCCCAGGTTCGGGGGGCGGCTGGAGCCCCCCTGCCTGGCCTGACCCAGCCACCCCCCTGCCCCACAGGTCCACGCCAAGTGGATCCTGGACACGGACACCTTCAACGAGTGGATGAACGAGGAGGATTACGAGGTGACGGACGAGAAGAGCCCCGTGACCCGCAGGAAGAAGATCTCGGCCAAGACACTGACAGACGAGGTGAGAGCCAGCTCAGAGCCCCTCGGGGAGGGGTCCTGGGGGTCCCACCCTGCTCAGCTGGACCCCCACGGTGCCCCCCCAGGTGAACAGCCCCGACTCGGACCGGCGGGACAAGAAAGGGGGCAACTACAAGAAGAGGAAGCGCTCGCCCTCCCCCTCGCCCACCCCCGAGGCCAAGAAGAAGAATGCAAAGAAGGGGTGAGCTGGGGGGGTTCTGGGGGGTCTGGGGGTTCAGCCCTGGGGGTCAGTGGTGATGATGGGTGGGGGTCTCTCCTTTGGCAGACCCTCCACCCCCTACAACAAATCCAAGCGCGGGCACCGCGAGGAGGAGCAGGAGGACCTGACCAAGGACATGGACGAGCCCTCGCCCGTCCCCAACGTGGAGGAGGTCACCCTGCCCAAAACAGGTCAGTGCGGGGGGCACAGCCACCCCCGGGGGTCCCCAGCACTGCGGGGGTGCTCAGCACCGCCTTCCCCCCACAGTCAACACCAAGAAGGACTCGGAGTCGGCGCCAGTCAAGGGGGGCACCATGACAGACCTGGGTGAGTGTGAGGAGCCACAGCAGAGCCCTGGCACCCCCGGCCTGGCGGTGCCCAAACCCAGCCCTGTCCTCCTTTCCAGATGAGCAGGAAGACGAGAGCATGGAGACAGCGGGCAAGGTGAGCCCGGGGGTGTTCCCAGCACGGGGGGCACGGCTGCTCAGTGATCACCCGGTTCTCTCTCATTCCTTGTCCCTCTTTTGGGTACAAAAACGCTCTTTTCTGCCCTTCCCCTCACCCCTGGGGCCGCAGCCGGGGCCCTTGGTCTCATCCTGCTGTGGGTGAGGATGATGAAGGGCGCTCAAGGGGGTCCCTTTGCCCATGGGGTGCTGCTGTGTGGGGCAGGACGAGGAGGAGAACGGCACGGGCAGCAAAGGGGAGCAGGCCAAGAACCCCGACCTGCACGAGGACAACGTGACAGAGCAGACCCACCACATCATCATCCCCAGCTACGCCGCCTGGTTCGACTACAACAGGTACAGCCAGCACGGCCTGGGGGGGGGTCTGAGCCCTCCTTCATCACCTGAGGATGAGGAGGCTCCTCCCAGAGCCCTCCCCCATCCTCTCCTCCCGCAGCGTCCACGCCATCGAGCGCCGCGCCCTGCCCGAGTTCTTCAACGGCAAAAACAAATCCAAGACCCCCGAAATGTGAGGCCGAAGCCCCTGTGCCCGCTGCCCGCAGCCCCCCCCCGGGGGCCGTGCCTGGCGCTGAGCCCCCCCTGTGCCCCCCACAGATACCTGGCCTACCGGAACTTCATGATCGACACGTACCGGCTGAACCCGCAGGAGTACCTGACCAGCACGGCGTGCCGCCGCAACCTGGCCGGGGACGTGTGCGCCATCATGAGGTGGGGGCGGCTGGGGGCTGGCACGGGGGGCTGGCACGGGGGGTGACACTGCTGACACCTGTTTGTGGTGTTCAGGGGCTGAGCTGGCACTGCTGACAGGGGCTCGTGGTGTTGAGGGGTTGGTTTGGCACCCCAGTCCTAATGGGGGTTGGTGCTGGTGGGGTTGGGGGTCAGTGTGGCAGCCCAGGGTTAGCAGGGGTCAGTGTGGCACAGTGCTGGGTGGTCAGTGTGGCACCCTGGCAGTGGCAAAGGGTCAGCATGCCACCTCAGTGCTGCTTGAGGGTCACCATGGCACCTCAGTGCTGGTGGAGGGCCAGTGTGGCACTCGGTGCTGGCAGAGGGTCAGCGTGGCACCCCACGGTTGGTGGGGGTCTGGTGCCAGGGGTGGGGCCATTGCTGTGGCACCCTGGTGGCGCCACCGGGGCTGGGGGCTCAGTGTGGCACCTGGCACTGGCCGGAATCTGGCACCAGTGGAGCTGAGGGCTTGGTTTGCACCCTGGGGGTGGCAGGGGGTCAGTGTGGCACCCTGGGGGTGGCAGGGACCCGGTGCCACTGGGACAGGGGGATCATTTTGGCACCCTGGGGGTGGCAGGGACCCGGTGCCACTGGGGCAGGGGGATCATTTTGGCACCCTGGGGGTGGCAGGAGTCCAGTGCCAGTGGCATTGGGGGGTCCACACCTTTGTGGCTCTCTGGTGCCTCTGGGGGTCTGG